CACACGCGTACATTTACACTCTGATTACAGACACATTGCAAGGTGTAATAGTTAATCGCAGGATATTCCCATAGGTTTTTAGTAAGCAATTGCATGTGACATCGAGCCCAAACATCAGTAACTTTTACCTTGTCAAGTTGTGGAAAGCTGGCCAGCAAGTTGCGTCGAAACAGCACTGGCCTTTTTATGACGGAATATACGAATCTACAGATGTATTTTTCACGTAACAATGCGAAACGTAAATAAGTCAGTGTCATACAGGTTCGCAGGTGTATAGTTCGCTGTCTCATCAGATGTTGTAAATTTTGTTGCATTGCTGTCTTGAGTGCCCTTATTATTATTAAGTATTTGAAACCCAGTGAATGTTAAACTTGTACAATCAGAAATAGATCAAGTGATACAGATAACTTGTCCGGAAGTATATCTAGGGTATATATTCCGGAAGTATATCCGGAAATATCTAAGGAGGCGTCCAGTCAAATGTAAAGGAGGCAAATCATTAGCGATGCATTCATACACCATCCACACAATGTTTACGATACGTGGCACTCTGTACGAGCGTCCGTAAAGCTAGGTGCCTAACATTTATGTGGGGATCCACCATAAAGAAACTTAAACACTTCCCGTTGACTTGCAAACGAAGCTACTTTAAATATATTACATCACCCATGCAGTAAAATATGCTCTTGCATATTTATGCGTGCCGTAGGGTCGTATGCTGCTGTTGCTAGCTTGAAAGGAGCGTTCCACATTTCTACGAGGTTTGAACTGAAAAAAGCCATCCTGAAGATTATTCGGTGCAGTTTACAGCCCTTTCCTTCCTAAAACCCAAAACCTTCCCAGTTTCTGAGCTACACATCCGCGAAGCTGGGCAGGCTTTTTCGTGCATACAAGTTCAAAGTTACCCGCAATCGATGACGCCATGCTAATGCCATTCAATCCCTGCCCATTCTACAGGCCCATGTGGCGTTCAAGGTTAAGAAAGCCGCCAATTGGCTCTCAACCAACGTTGCGCAAGCTATAGAGGGTGTCTTATGCTACATAGTACAAGACGTTGTACATTCTTAGTTATTACAGGAATGAGACTGCGATCGATTAAGTACGGGAGGGCGCAAAATCGAGTAGTATTGAATACAAGCAAGCACATTAAACTCAAGAATAAATGTGCAAGAACACCACGAGAAAAGGCTAAAACACGAGCGGCTAACAATATTTGGTGTAGCAAACATCCAGCACCGCCGCGAGCCTCTTGTCAGGAAATTAAAGAACTGCAAGTGAGTACTGCCATACAAACGTTCCATGACACAATCAACAGTGGCGTAGTGAATAAAATGTTTACTAGGTCAAAAATTTTGTTGTTTAGAGCACCCCTTACTCCTTAAAAATACGTACCAATAGTGAGCTTAGTTCATCACGCCTGATTCTTGCATCAATATCTTCAAATATGAAGCATTCCTTTTAAATGCAACTGCCTTTAAAAGAAGCTGTGCAGTTGTATGCTCCAAAATGCCTTTAATTTCTCACCAGCGACGCTTTTCTTTGCAGTAATAGTTATTTGTCCTGATGGAGCTTCTTGTCCTAAGATTAAAGTAAATAGATTTATGAAATTCAGACGTCCAACGACATGTTGCCACATTGCATATGAAATTCACACGTCCAACGACATGCTGCCATATTGCGGCATTCCATTTTCTTCGCAAGGTCCTGCGGCTTCTCGATAATTCTTTCCTGGCTCAGCGCGGAGCCGTGTGTCAGCACCCAGCTAGCGGGGTTTTGATGACGCTGAGGCCGATTCTGATTGATATTGTTCACCGCTGGGTCATTCCCCCAGTGCCTTTGTCTGCAGTTAACAATGGCGAAAACGCACATTTCCATTCCACCAGCACAATCGGATCTAGCGCGGTTTTTGTCGTGTGGCGAGGATAGCAGCCTCGCTGTATGATGGAGAGGCGAGTGTTTGATCAGTGTCTGCGTATGCATAACCTTGCTGTGGTGATGGGGACGGCATGCAGTCCACGCTGGGTATTTAGTTCACTTTTCGTATCTTACCTCACTGTTGGCGTCAAACGTGGTCAACATTAGGAGCAAAATAATCCCCCCACCCCCACTTCCTGACCGCCACTTCCCGTACATGACGGAGTGCGGCCGACGCGGCTCTGCTTGCAGGGTTGGCCGCGCGCCTCTCCGGCCCGGCCGGCCGTCTCGAGTGCGGCGCCTGAGGGACGTGTCGTAAATCATGCTTATTGGCCGATACCGAGAACGCTCAATCACGCGCCGGCATCGCTTCCGACAGCGAAATAAATGTCCTGAAAGCGTGCCGCGTGAGCTGTTACTGCAGAAGTCGGTCGTCGGATAGGCTGAGGGTCCACCGAATCGCAGTTGGACGGACGACACAGCGGCTTGACGGCGGAGGATCGGATGGCGTCGCGGAACTTGGCCCTGATTTCATCGCTATCAGCTGGAGAATTCGTCTCATTGAAAACTTTAAGGCCCATTGAAATGTCATTTACGCGGTAGTGAAAATCTAAAATCGCTAATAAATGAAGGAGGCTCAACGAATTTGGCTTATGCTGCGCAAATGCGAGTTTTGCACGCCATGGGGTTGCGCCATGTAACCCCATGGTGTTCCATGGCGTAACCCTCAAGCATACCGGGCATGCCCTGACTGCTTTGGGGGCAGCCACCCCTTCCCTCGCCAAGGGAGACATGTGTCCCGTCTCCGGAAAAACCACGCACCGACGCGCGTCGCCGGGAGCTTAGCTGTTTGACGTCTACGAGGGCGGCACGCATTCCAAGTGTCATGATTTCCGCTGGCATTGCGCCCCGATCTCCGGTGGTGGGGGCTCCGATCTCCGACGGAAGGGTTTCCCGATCTCCAGCGGTAGGGTGTCCCTACCTCGGGCGGCTCGTTGCCCCGATCTCTGGCGGCATTGTGTCCCGATCTCCGGCGGCCGTGTCCCGACCTCCGGCGGCCGTGTCCCAACCTCCGGCGACCGTGTCGCGATCTCCGGCGGCAGTGTCCCGACCTCCGGCGGTCGTGTCCCGACCTCCGGCGGCCGTGTCCCGACCTCCGGCGGCCGTGTCCCGATCTCCGGCGGCCGTGTCCCGACCTCCGGCGGCCGTGTCCCGACCTCCGGCGGCCGTGTCCCGACCTCCGGCGGCCGTGTCCCGACCTCCGGCGGCGGCGTCCCGACCTCCGGCGGCCGTGTCGCGACCTCCGGCGGCCGTGTCCCGACCTCCGGCGGCGGCGTCCCGACCTCCGGCGGCAGTGTCCCGATCTCCGGCGGCCGTGTCCCGACCTCCGGCGGCGGCGTCCCGACCTCCGCCGTTCGGGCGCTGTTTTCCGGGGCGCCGTTGGGCCGGCCCGGTCCGCCGTCCGTGTGAGTTAGGACGGCCGCGGGAGCGGGCCGGCCCGGCCGCCGGTCGATCGCCAATGCACGGACAAACACGACCGTCGGTTCAGCACCGCCGGCGCCGCCCGACGACCGTCGACCGGGCGCACTCGCCGCCGGCGCCGAGGCGACAGTCTGTCCACAGACCGGCCGATTACCTGTTGTCAGCCCGGCGGAGGGCAGGGATGAAACGGGCCCGTAGAGATGCCGTGGTAACTGTATGCACAAAGGACGCTTGCAGGATGTTACATTTTGCCTGAGATGGCCAATAGCGCAACGCGCTTCGAACCTGCGAATCGCCCATTTGATTTATGCTTGGTCTTTAGTCAGGGTTGCTGCAATATCGCCGCGTCGTCCTATGTTACTGTCACCCTTAGGAGATCGGTTGCTTCGGCTTCCATTGACGTCCACGTCCACGTCCACCAGCCTCGATTTTTACGCGAGTCGTCCCAAACTTGTTGGAGACGGAGTCGGGCGCGCGGGCGTCCGTTGGAGTGGTGTGTGTGTGTGTGTGTGTGTGTGTGGTGTGTGTGTGTGTGTGTGTGTGTGTGTGTGTGTGTGTGTGTGTGTGTGTGTGTGTGTGTGTGTGTGTGTGTGTGCGTGCGTGCGTGCGTGCGTGCGTGCGTGCGTGCGTGCGTGCGTGCGTGCGGAGCGGATTGGACGATGTTTTTGCGTAGAGACAGCCATTGGCGCGAGAGAGAACTAACCTCACCGAAATCATTTTTCATTGCATGCGAAAAGTTTTGCCGCGTCTGTTCTGACTTGTGGTTCCGCGAGGTGAGGAAGCCGTCATAGTGCCGATGTTTCCAATTTGTCGGCATTTAATAGAGTTGCTTTTTTTTGAAAGGCAACATTTTGTCTCGTTTGAAACCAGTGCATGAAGTTGGATAACGGTCTCGGAGAACCAATCACTTTAAGTCTAGCAGCGGTGGTGGTTTTCAAGAAAATGTTTTAAACTAACATCAGACTTCTGCTCGAATCGCTTCAAAATAAAAACTGCCTCTGAAATCACAGCAAATTTGACTGAATCAAGCTTGAGTTGACTGACTTTGCAAACGCTTGACTGACAATAAAAAGTACGTTGAGTTGTCCCGTGATTCAGCGCTGTGTCTACACAAAATTGTGAGTAAAGATGGAGTTCAAACCACTCTTTAACACGCGCCCAGGTGGCCAGTTGGATACCCTTCCCCCGGGCGGGGGCGAGGGGAGGTCGGGGCAATTTGACCCTTGAGATCTCAGGAACTAAAAGGCTAGATACACCAAATTCATTGGGTGTGTTAGCTTGTACGTGAACTCACTGGAGTCAAAGTTTGAGGCTCCCAGTTCGTGACATTCGGGCAAAATAAGGTCAAACAAGGTCAAACTCCAAGTTGGTGTCCAAAGTGTCTTCAGAACATAGATACCTGTTGAATGCAAAAGGGTGCATGCTTATTTAAGGTCAGTAACCTTGCTTGCCTTTTCTGACGTCATGGTGGCCAAAATGATAGAAGACTGTTTTGAGCTTTTTATTTGAATCAACGACAGAGATTACGCTAGGCATTATGTTCCTAAAAGCCACATTTTGACACGGGTCATTTAAGGTCAGTGGCCTGTTCTGATCTTTAAAAAAAATCAATATGTCTTATGCGGTCCCTGTTATCAATAAATTCAAAATGAGTACCATAAACTGCCCTATACAGCAAGCCCCAGACTACTAAAACAGGTTGGTTTTGACCTTGGTCTGACCTTCATACTCTAGGCCAATTTCATTAACTAGGTCAATGGAATTTGGTCATTCAATTGTTGTGTTACCTAAGGAGGTATCTCAGAGATGCATGGCTTCGTCTAGCACTCCGTTGTTACATCAAATTGAACGAATGCCTAGAAATCGACTTCGCCGAATCGGTGACCCGACTTGACCTGCCGTAGGTCAACAACCTTGCGAGGTACATCTAATTTTTTGATACCACACGATCCGCTATTCAATTGTCCACAGCTACGCAAAATTTGGCGCGGCGTAGCCGCATCATACGGAAACCATTCCGGAAAAACACCCGGGGGAGGGTCAATTTGATCCCCCCCCGAATATGATTGCAATCATATTTTATGATCATATTTCTGCTCCCAAAATGTTTGTTCCGAACGGACTCGAATCCCGTTACGACTCATGGAGCGCAGGTCTATTGGAACGAAATCGTCTCAGTAAATGATTGGTGCAGGTGAGCCACCAAGCTTCTTCGTCTAGAATAGCTGTTGAGCGTAGGGAATCTATCATGTTCAGGATGAAATTTGTACACACAAGTTGTGTATATCCATATGCGCCAATGAGTTGATAGGGCCGACGTTATAGGGCCTTGGGGCTGACTCAAGGCTATCTGACGTTAAAGTGTTAAACGATGCGGATGACACCCCCTGGGCCTACTGATAAGCTCAGAATCCCACATGATTTAAACCCACAACACTTTTGTCACGTTCTTTTGAACATTGCTGAACTTCTGTCACGGAAGTATCACTGTCGAATGCCATGAACTTTACTGTCCGCTGCACACCAGATCTACAGTCGTCAGCAGAAACAGAGCTGTCCGTGTGTTTCCGGGGCTTCCGGGGCTATTTCCCTGCTGGAGTCTTGCGGTGGTGGGAGAGTTAGAGACGCACTGGTACAAATGCGGTTTGGTGGGGCGGGGATGACTTCCCACTGTTTTTTTCCATTTTCCTTGAAGATAGCCTGATTTGTCGGATGTTTGCTGTTGGGAAGCAAATGGCAGGCTCTGCTCTTTCAAGTAGGGTAGTAATCAGTATTCATTTAAACAGCAGTGTTTGGGAGTCCCAGAGCGTGCAGCTTCTCTGCGCTTTGTACTCAGACGTAAAAGGCTCGACCGCCTCTACCAGAAAAAAACTTGCCAAGACGGGCAAACTCCGCTTGGCGCCGTGGCGTCCGGCGTTTTTCAGTTCCGCTCGTAAAGTTTGCGATGGTGCCATCGCGACGGTGCCATCGCGAAACCACCCGGCGTCGATTGAAAGTGGGGTTGTGATCCGAATACAGTTTCGCAGTGATTCACCGTCTTTGCCAGAGGAACCGTGTTGGTCGCACGGGGCGAAAGTTTGCCGCCGTTGCATTTTTGACATGGAGACATTGCTGTCGTCACTGGCCTGTTTTTTTTTTTTGGCGAAAAATTCAGCAGTTTGGACTATATGGCTTTGCCTGCCTCTCACCCTGACAGGAACGGGGGGGGGGGGGGGGGTAACCAAACCCTGTGTCTGGTATCCCCAAAAACATGTAAAATCGTTACTGTACAAACTTCCAAGACCCCAATCTACCGATTTGCTTTCAAACCGCTCGACCCACCTCTGCGACCAGAGCATTGGTTCTGCCTACATAAGTTGTAAATCGACGGATATTTTCCGCACTGCGTCACAGCTATGATATTGACGAAATTAAACAAACAAAATCGTTTACTCACAGCGCGTCACATGCAGGCGATCAAAAACACTCAGGCGTCTGTTTGAGTAAAACGAGGCACAACTTAGATGACAGGACCTTGGCAGGGTTTTCTGAAGAGCACACAACTCAACCTCGGGTTTCCCAGGCGACGCTGTCATGCCTTTAGCCATCTCGCGGATAAGCGGACTGACGCGCAGTGCAGGATAGTGGCAGCACGCTGTTCGTAATCGCAATCGTATATGTGAGCTCCAGCGTCGGAATATAGGCAGGGTTGTCAGTCGCCGCGTCACGAAAGGAAGCGGGTGTAGGTGCGCCATCCACTTGATCGAAGCCAAAACATGAGTCACCTTTCCGAACGGAGAATTTGTGCGAGATCGGTTTTATTTGTTACGTGGTTAGCATGCTG